AGTTTTGATAATATTGAAATAATGGAATTCATGAAGGTGATTATTTAAAGTTAAAATTGGAACCTTATTGTTTCAATGATGTTTTTTTAATATTGAGAGTCATGTTAGCATTTTACAACAAACATTACAATATTATTTTCAACTAAAGTCTTACTTGCTTGAGATAATGGAAATCCATCATGTTTATACTTTTTATTTAATGATGATGAAGATTGATGTGTGTTAAAATGAATCTATTGGTCATCACAATCAATATCATCTTTATTTATTATTTTTTGACCTACAGATCACAAGCATAGGTAATATTTGAATTTCATCTAACAACTTGTCTTCTAATGTAGCAATTTTACAACTAAAAAATTTTTACAAATTACTTTTCAGATTATTAACTTTATAAGTAAAATAGGGTATATAGTATGCTATATAATATTGTAGGTTTCATACTGCTAAATATTTGGTAATAACACCAAAATATCATTAAAGAATAAAAATTTTAAAATGACATTTGGAAATTAGTCACTCCCTTTCTTGAAACAAATCATCATATTTTTTTCCTTTTAGCCTTTTTAAGGATAGTAATTCTTTTATAAAAACCAATGATATTATCATTTTTAATTTTTAGTTAAAGAAGAAAAACTCTGAGAATGTTGTTCCTTTTTCTCAAATCCAAATAAGTTTTTTTGCGTTAAAAGCAGTTGATAATTAAGTAGAATTAAAAAGTTAATCTAGTTTTTTTAAGCATTTAAGTTTACTTAACAATTAAGTTATTTAATAGAGTAAAATAATCTAGTTAACCGCACCATTAAAACTTTATTAATCATATCTACTTGATTCAGTAAGAAATACAAACACAACCTAGTTTCAACGAAGGCATACAACTTTAAACTAAAAATACTCTAATATATTTTCAAATTTAATTCTACAAGAAAACAATACAACACTTGGTTGATTTAAATATATACTAATTTATATATTATTATATATACTAATTTATATATTATATTATATAATTTTTACTTAAATAAATCAATTTGCCTAATCGAAGGTCACGCCATGATATGCGTAAACATACTCTTTTAGATATTGCCGTGCTGTACGTTTAAAAAGAGTTTTTTTATCAACTGAAAAAAACGTTTTAAAAACGTTCATAAGCTAACCGTAAGTTAATAAAAAAAAAACGTTTAAAAAACGCTAAAAAAACGTTAAAGTTAACATTAAAAAAAACGTTTGCAAAAAAACGTTTTAAAAACAATTGTATTGGTTCTTTTAACGTCCGACCGTAAATTGAACGGAATTAAAACGTTTTAAAAACGTCCTGTGCTTACTGGGAATGAGACTGAATTACTTGGACCGTCTCTAGCAATTCATTTAGTCTCAAAGTAACTATTCACATTGTTAAAAAATTTTAAAAAATAAAAAAAAGTCTCCAATATTAATTGCTTTTAATAAAGAACATTATACTAGAAATAGAATAAAGCTTAACTAATTTGTCATTTACGTCATTTATTTTTTTGAAATAGATTGGAAGCCATGAAAAAAGTAGTTAAAAAAAAAACTGTATTAGTGAAATTGGGAAGTATCGCTGACATCTACATATTTGATTGAAGTTTTAGCTACCTTACAATGATACTACTGTATACACTTTTATATTTATCAAAAGATATCAGCTAGATATATTAACTTACATCAACATATATTTATATCAACCTACATAAATAAAAAAAAGTTTCAATCTTTGTTAAAGCAGAGCAAAGAATGATAAATATAATCTTGAAAATATAAAGAAATTTGATATTTACAAAATAATAATTAAATTATTAATATACGCAGAAAACAGAAAACCCACATAAATTATTTATAAAAAAAACATTAAAGAAATTAATGTAAATTAAAATAAATACTTGCAGAACCCATAAGTTTAATGGTATTTAAAAAGTTGAATTATTTGAAAATGTTAGCGTAGTTTACAAATGGATTGCTTAAAGTTCTTAAAGTATAGAGCAAAACTAAATTTGTAATATATATACATATATATATATATATATATATATATATATATATATATATATATATATATATATATATATATATATATTATGTTAGCGTATTTGTGATATATATATATATATATATATATATATATTTATATATATATATATATATGTATATATATATATATATATATATATATATATATATATATATATATATATATATATATATATATATATCACAAATACGCTATATATATATATATATCACAAATACGCTAACATAATATATATATATATATATATATATATATATATATATATATATATATATATATATATATATATATATATATATATATATATATATATATATAAACATTACAAAATATTACAAAGATATTTTTGAGTATATATATATACATATATATATATATATAATATATATATATATATTATATATTATAAATATACATATTATATATTATAAATATATATACTAATTGAACGCATTATGTACAACAGACTTTATAAATATCTTTCTGAAAATAAGATTTTATATAATAATCAAAACGGTTTAAAAAAAAATCATTCTACTGACCATGCAATAATTGACTTGGTTAAGCATATATCAAATGGATTTATTAGTGATTGCTATACAATAGGGTTTTTATTGATTTATCCAAAGCTTTCGACACAGTAAATCATAAAATTCTTTTGAAAAAATTAGAAAACTATGGTGTTAAAAATCAAAGTTTACTTTGGTTTAAATCATACTTAACTAACAGAAAACAACTTATGCTTACAGAATCAAAAGACTCAAAAAACAACTTAATAACTTGTGGAGTACTCCTAGGTTTTATTTTGGGACCATTATTGCTTTTAGTTTATATAAATGACTTATATTTATCATCAAAAGTATTAAATACTATCTTATTTGCAGATGACACTAATTTGTTTTATTCTCACAAAGATATTACTGTTTTTTTTTTAAATATTTAACGAAGAATTAGATAAGATCAACGAGTGGTTTATAAGTAACCGACTATCATTAAATGTACAGAAAACAAAATTTATCCTATTCCATAAACTTAGTAAAGCCGAGAAAATTAAAACTACCCAATCTTATAATCAATAATAAAAAATTAAAAGGGAATTGACTACAAATTTTCTGGGAGTGCTCTTAGATGAAAAATTGTCATGCAAATTTCAAATTAAATATATTGAAGGTAAGATCTCAAAAAATCTTGCGCTTTTATTAAAATGGTTTTAAACCATTAGTATAAAAGATAACTATTTTTGATGGTATTAAATAATCAGCCCAAATACCTATGTTTACATATACTGCTTTTTTTTTTTTTTAAATTAAACAACGCATTTTTTTTGTGTGTTTTTATAACTTTCATGTTTTTCTGTCGTTTTTACTTTTTTATTTTATTTAAAATTATTCTGCAGGAAGATTGTTAGCAATAAATTATTTTATTGATGAAAATTATGATTTGTTTTTGTTTTTGTATTTATACTGTCCTTTTGTCTTTTATCATTTATTTTGCATGTTAATTTTTGTGTGACGGGGCTCGGTGATTAGACAACCTGTCTTCTTCTGCTCCGGCCAGGATTTTCTTTTATTGTAATTTCTCTTTTGTAATATTTATCAACGGCAAAATAAATAAATAAATAAAAAATATCTAGTAAAATCACGCATGTGTATTTGAGTTCTCAAAATGCAATACGAACGGTCGAACTCGTAATGAAGACGTTGAATTAGCGTGGAATCAACGTCGATTTTATTTTGGTAGTTTTAAACAAATTTTCAACGTTGATACAATGTTGATTTTTGGTTATACGACGCGACTAAAAATCAACCGTAAATCAACGTTGAAATAACGTCGTGTGCCCACTGGGTGGTAACAGTTTGAAATTGGATCAATTTATTGCGTTCAAAAACATTTTCAGCTGATGAAGTGACTGGTTTAATTTTAGATTGTGGGCTGACTAAAAATACATATCAACTTATAAGATCTGCAGCAGCAATTTATGGCCACAATAACTTGTATCCATTATATAATAATGTTAAAGAATCTAAAAAACAATGCTATCCAGGCATTGTTTTTTAGTTTAGTCTCTCAACAAAGTAATGCTTATTCATTAAGTTATGTATCAAGATTAATGTTAAAACCAAAAGTTGGTTTTGATGGTGCACTTTATGATGGTGCAGGTCAGGCAATATACAAATAATTTGCGCTATATCAAGATGTACGCAATCATAGTATTGAAGGAAGCCTGTTTATTACCTGATTTGCTCCATTAGAGTTGACTGGATTTATTGGTACAGAAAAAAAAGTAATCTGGCTTAATCCTCGTCCTTCTTAAACAATGTTTTGTAGATCAATAAGGTTTAGATATGTAAAAGAAACAAAAGAAGTCATCAAAGCAGAGGAACAGTTCATTGAGAGTCAAAAATTTGAGTTAAGAATCTTAT